AACAGCAACACGACCAACATGTCATGCTAACCCCGAAATCCCTCATACTCCGTCAGCAACCCCTGCTCCGCCCCGCTGCGCTCCAGACCGCCTGCACAAAGCAAAGCCTACAGCCCCCGCTGTGGCTCCCGACCGCTCCGCTCTGAGTCCCTTGGAGATGGTAGAGAGCATGCGCGAGATGATTAAATTCAAAGCAGCAAAACAAGCGAAAATGATCCATGGTTTCCGCGGATCATTAAAAATAACTACAATTCATTAATATTTTTGGATTTTTTTCATTAATTTCATTAATTATTATGGGATTTCGGTGTAACAATCAACATATACCGAAAACCGAAAACCGTGACCAGAAACCGTGAACCAAACCGACCCGTGGATTTTGTGAACCGTTCCACCCCTAGTCCATACAGCTTAGATCAAAGATTACAGATTAGCGGAGCGCGGTCCAGATTCAGACTCACCTGATTGCTAATCGGACCCAACCTGATTTAAACATTTATAAATTGCCGCATGTCATCCAACGCCAGGTCTAACTTCTCCTGTTAATAAGGTAAAACCCTCCGGAGCATCTGGCACCAGACTACACATGATACACATTAGTCTGGGTTGCTGCTGCTGCTACTTTTATGCTGCTTTCACACCTAAAGCAGCAAAGGCAGCAGGAGCAGCTAGTTTACATGCAAAGCCAAAGGTTGACACGCATAATGGCGCAGCAAAACTTCCAGCAGCGTGTTTTGAGCAGCGGGTCATGAGTGTTTGAGCATCGGAGGTGCTTCAGAAGCAGCAGCTGAGTTGAGGAGTTGGAAAAATTGAACTTTTGCTGCTCGATCTGCTACATCAACCAATCAGAGAAGCAGATCTGGGAGCTAGCAGGGAGACAGACACAGCACTGCTGATGCAGAGCGCTATGATCACTCCTCTGAAACAGTTTGAATTCACATATAATTAAATTGACTTATAATGTCGAAACCTGTCGGAAAAACATGTTGACTTTTATTATCCTGGTGCCTGCAGTTTGGATTACGTACATAAACTTTGCCGCCTCGGCAAACCGCGAAGAGAGGACCGGGTCATAGGCTGCTGTTGAATGGG